TGTTATTGTTTTAAAGTGCACCAGCACCACCAAGTGTTAGAAAAGAGGCATTGCAGGAAACTGGGCTTGATGGGTGATGCACAGCTGTTGTATGAATTAAATGTCTTTCATTTATTTTGGTCTTGCCCCTTCTCGACTCAATTTTGGAAAAGTATTTGTATTTTGATTTCTACTTTTATAGAACCAGGTCTTTTACTTTGAACATGTTTTGTTTGGCTTCACTGACTACCCAACAGCTAAAGAAAACCAGTTCTATATTATTAATCTTATTATATACCTAGCCAAATGGCATATTCATAAATGTTGTTACACTAATCAAAAACCTCTTATCTCCATTTTTGAAAATGAGGTCAAACAATACATCAAAACTATATTTCACCAGCACGAAGGCCATTAAAACTTGCATCTTATTCTCTTTAATATATTTATGTAATATGTTATTGTAAAGTATTGTCTCAGTGTTCGTAACCCCCTGGTGCCTGTTATTTCATTACTGTATACTGCATTTTATTGTATTGTTTTGTACTTTTTCAATAAAGTTTTTTTTTTAAGTATGAATTTTGAAAAGTCCTATTCTAACAGATATTAGGCCGTCATCAATTTAATTTTGATTATGTTAAGAGGATGTCTAAAACATGAAAATAGCTTTCATGCCACTAAATATTTTTGGCAAAATGTGTCAATTTTATGTTTGCTTAACAGAAAATAATTTAATTAGATTAAAGATGAAATTAAAATTTAGATTAAAGGTAAAATCTAGGTTTTAATATGCTTATATAAAACAAAGTAATCAACAGCTTTCATGCTGTCCATATAATACAACCATATTTTAAACTTCACAAAAACAAACCAAAATAAATGAATTAATGCATTTTTAAAGCAAGTGTGCTTAAGTTAATTGATGCTGATCTTTTATTTATTGATTTATCTACAAATCATGTTCAGGAAGTAGAATCAAAGTGAATTTGCTAATGCCCTCTAGTGCTCATTTGTTTTAGCTCTCATAAACACAGATTGATATTTCTCCTCTGTAGTCATGGTGACTCATACAACTGGAATATTGTCCTTTAATGTATTTCAGCAATAAACCATAAATCCTGAACCGCTGACACATTTACCTACTGTGACTAGTCTCCCAGTGAGTTAGGAGTGTGGAATCCAAGTGATGAAACTTTGCTTTGTTTGGTGAAGATCTGAGGGCCCACAAAACCTCAACTAATAAATCAGCAGGAAAAGTGACTTCCCCCAAACATAACTCGTTTAGCTGAGACAGACGAGTGAACACGATCTTCTTTGGCAGCCTAAGTGCTACAGAATGTAACTTTACACCCCGCTGATCCGCTCTCCGAGAGAGGAACTGTCATTTCTTAGAAAAATATAATGGTCCTTTCAAAAAACTGTTTCATGTGTGAAAATAAACACTTGAAATGAACCAAACATACATTGGATAAACGTTAAAAAAAAAAAAAAAAAAAAAAAAAACATGAGCAGAATGTAACTATTTCTATCTTTTCTGAGGTTGGTGGGTGTGAGTTATTCTGCAGAGAAAAGACACAACGGGAAGTCTGATGAGAATCTTCCAGGAATCTTTAGCCCCAAAACTTCTCCGCTAACTAAACGAGCACATCAAACATAAAGCCGCCCACTTATCACTACTTCCCCTGTCTGTTTGGTGGACTCTTTGGTATCTGATGAATCCTTATCGAGGTCATACAGCGCTGGTTCACATGTTGCGTTATCACACTGGTCTCTTCCCCAGGGCTCCCACAGGAAGGGTCTGATCAGAGGGCATGGCATGCCATGTCTCTTGACTGCCTGGTGGCAAAACTGGTAATGCAGTGAGTCTGAGCAGGGACAAGGTGTGTGTAAAGTTTCTTTCACTAAGAACTATTTTTTTTGTATTTATTGTATTTTATTGAATTTGCACAAATGCATAGCAATCGTGATGATAGAAAAGTGTTTTACTAGTTTAATCAAAATAGATTAAACATAGAATTTGTTAAAAATATATAACAGAAATTTTGAATAATTCGTCTAATAATGTGAAATGTCTCATTTTTGTGTGTGTCAGGTAACATAAATTCTACTAAGACCTATAAGTATTACCTATGTACCTGTACTTATATTACACATGTAGTACCTATGAGCAAGTCGAATCAGTTCTTTTCATCCTGAACATTTCATTGCATTGTTGACCTTGTGTTAACCTGCATATGACAATAAACAACATAACAACAAAGACTGGTACAGAACATGTATGAAGACAGCAGGACATGTTAGACTGGTACAGGACATGTATGAAGACAGCAGAACATGTTAGACTGGTACAGGACATGTATGAGGACAGCAGGACATGTTAGACTGGTACAGGACATGTATGAGGACAGCAGGACATGTTAGACTGGTACAGGGCATGTATGAAGACAGCAGGACATGTTAGACTGGTACAGGACATGTATGAGGACAGCTGGACAGTGGTGAGATGTGCTGTAGGAGTGACAGATAGCTTCAAGGTGGAGGTGGTGCATCAAGGATCAGCTCTGAGCCCCTTCTTGTTTGCTCTGGTGATGGACCGACTAACAGATGAGGTCAGGCAGGAATCCCCGTTGACTTTGATGTTTCCAGATGACATTGTGATCTGTGGTGAGAACAGGGAACAGGTGGAAGAGAACTTAAAGAGGTGGAGGTATGCACTTGAATGAAAAGAAATGAAAGTCAGCCGTAGTAAGACAGAGTACATGTGTGTGAATGAGAGGGCGGCCGATGGAAGAGTGAGGCTACAAGGAGCAGAGGTCACAAAGGTGCAGGACTTCAAGTACTTGGGGTCTACTGTCCAGGAAAATGGAGAATGTGGTAAAAAGGTGAAAAGGAGAGTCCAGGCAGGATGGAGAAAAGTTTCAGGAGTGATTTGGCACCAAAGGGTGTCAGCAAAGGTCAAAGGAAAAGTTTACAAGACTGTGGTGAGACCAGCTATGTTGTATGGTCTGGAGACAGAGACATGGACAGGAGACATAACTGGACGTGGCAGAAATGAAGATGTTGAGGTTCTCCTTAGGAGTGACAAGGATGGATAAGATTAGGAATGAGATCATCAGAGGCACAGCACAGGTTGAACAACTGGGAGACCAAGTTAGAGAGACCAGACTGAGATGGTTTGGACATGTCCAGAGGAGGGACAGTGGGTATACTGGTAGAAGGATGTTAGAAATGCAGCTGCCAGGAAAAAGACAAAGAGAATAAATATGGATGCAGTTAGAGAAGACATGGAGGTAGTTTGAGTGAGAACAGAGGATGCAGAGGACAGAGTGAGGTGGAGGAGGATGACTCGCTGTGGAGACTCCTAAAAAGGGAAAAGCTGAAAGAAGAAGAAGAACATATTATCTGGTTTAACATGTTACTTCATATCTTTTTTAAGTGGAGTTCTGTAAAAAGAGTATGAAAACCAATCTGTTTTATTGTATTGACAATATACCGAATGGACTGTTTTTTTGTTTGATTGTTTGTTTTGCATTGTGGGAACATATTTCTGTATCAGTAAATTTTGATGCCAATGAATCAAGCCTGGCTTTTGATTTTCTAATGAAAAACGTATAAAGTTACATAAAAATGTCTCATTTTGGTGTTCCATTGTTAAAAATGTATGTAATTTACTTAAAACTTGTAGCTTTAACATGCTCAAATGTTTTGCAGTACACATTTAGATGGCAGACAGACTCACCACCACCTATCTATGCACCAGTGACTTTTGATTCTCTTCAGCAGCCTCTGTCAGTTGTGGTCAATAACTTGTTTTAAATAATAAACAAGACTTCTAACATTTATATTTTCTCACATGGACTTATGCAGCCAAGCTAGTGTTTCATCGGATTCATGAAGTGTTCCCTGTTGGCTCATGCTCGTAAGAATCTCATGTAAACTGACTGAACTGGTGAGCTAATGGCTAGTCAGAGTGGGGCCGAGACCAAAGTGGAATACTGCTATTTTAAAACAACTACAAGATAAACATTATAAATTTAATTTTATAAATATTTACATCGATGTCAAATTTGCACTGCGTGATTTTCCAGCAGAAATATCTTAATTGTCCTGCTGTAAGTGCACCAGGTTGCACTGGAAGTGCTACAGCTAGTTGCTGCTGCCACTACTTGTGTCTTTAAAAGATTCTAGGTAAATAATGATGTAATGCAAAATTTTGGCATGTATACGTCTATAAGTAAAAAGTAAGTTTCTTTCGACTGCTCGCTTCTGCAGGGGTTAGTAAAACTTGCATGAACGATTTGGCAATTATTTTACACCAGATGCTCTTTCTGATGGGGTCGAACTCCCAACCTCATGAATGCAAGACCACGGCGCTAATCACCGAGCTTTGCATAAACTTGTACTAAATTGCTGAAATTGGACTTATTTGAAGATGGCAGGAATCCCACTTAAGGCTCAGCCATGCTCAGACCAGCTGTCAGCTCATACAGTTAGAAATAAGCTTTATTTCATCAAACTGAAATCGTTCAAAGAGCTATCTACAACAGGTTAGATATTTACTGTTCATAACCTCTCAGCAGAACCCCACTTCCAAAAACGATTACTTTAACTGTGATCTTATTTGATGAGTATATTTTTCCCAACATTTTTGTTTATAAATTGTGTTTTAGGAGAAAAAAAACCCCAGTTGTTTACCAGTCTTTTTAGTTTTAAACTTTTTAGCTGAGTCACTCACAGCCAACATACATTACATACAAAGACCTGCGCTTAACACACACACCCAGGATAATGTTTATGTTTATCAGGGTGTTTGGGGGAAATGAGCATAGTTGTAGAAGCAGGAAGCATTGAGTCACAGTGCTGCGAGCTGGAGGAGGTAACCCGCGCGCATTTCATAATACTGGCTGCGCCTCTGCGCGCTGGATGGTGGACCCTCTCAGTCACCGGTTAGATCTGCTGACTGCAGGGACATGAGCTTGTTTTCCTCTGTCCCATACGTGACCAGCTAAAAACCAGAGATTATGTCCGCTCAGGGACTGCTGAGCAGCGTTTTCTCCTGCTCACTGAGCCCCAGAAGTCTTTCCAAGAGGAAGCTGAGGCAGACCAGGAGCTTGGAGACGACGCTGATGCGGCACTATGGCACCGAGGCTGAGGAGACTCCGTGTAAGGTTTGTGAGCCATTTGTTCACACTGGTCATTTTTAGTCAACCGGATTAGGTTAGATCACATATACATCACATATAGTGATAATGTTTTTTTGCAGGTATTCATGAAGCCTTCAGGACTGTCAGTATAGACTTCTATTTTAAATTAAGTTGACATGCATGAATTCATACATGCTGTAAGCATTGCATTGCAAATAGTTACACAATACCAGAAAAGGGGAAACAAAAAACAAAAATCCTCCCACTAACCAGTCATGCTGCCCTGCTATTGCAACATCCCAAAGTTTGTGACCAACCGGACTGATTTGTGTGGTTGTGCCTGTTTTGTAGCTCTTTTTTGTCACAACGTGTGATTCAGCCCAGTCTGTTTGATGAAGTCATTTTATTTGGCAGGGATGCTAAATGATGACATTGATTTGACAAGTCTGTACCAGAAAAGTTGAGCATTTCAAAGCTGAATTTCAGTCGGGGAGAAGGGAATGCATGAAGCCCTGACAGGTGTTAATTTTAGGACATGCACTGGATTATTGAGCAAAAGTATAGCAAATATTTGAAAGTCCTGTTTTTGGATTTTGGCATGTTGAAGCTGCTGGTTGCTGTCGGTCCCTCCAGGACTTGTTGCATAGATCCAACCAAACAGAGACACCCTGAACTCAAGTGCAGAAAAGCAGAATTACAATATTGTGTGCAGAAAATATACAGGAAGTTATTTTACTGACTAAATCAATCTGTGCCACATGGTAACATTGTTTGTTTATTATACTGGAGACAGACCTGTCACTGGATTCAACTTGTAATGAATGCCAGGTAACTCTATTCTCTGCACTCATTCACGAATAACTTTGAGCCAACAGCCAAAGCTTGAAGTTTTTTTCTAAAACCTGAATGAAACTAGATTTTCCAGAGAGCTAAAGCAGATATTGATTGTGATTTATGACTTTTAGAAGGGTGTGCGTGGATCACCACCAGCCTGTTTCTTGTCTTGAACTGCAAAGCTAGAAGAGAAATGACCTTGTCTTAAATGTTATAAATCATTCACCTTTTAAAACACGTTGGGATGCCTGTAGATGGTGCAGCTGCAGAGCGTCGTGCAGCTCCAATCGGAAAGCTGCTACTTGAGCTGAACTCTCTCACATGACCATGCTGTCAGCTTACAGTCTTAGCAAGTAAGAGCCTTTGTATGCAAACCTTACTCCAAGTCCATAATCAAAGTCACATTTTTTTGGGTGTGCACTCAGTCACTGAGGGATAACAGTATCCAAGAGACCATAAAACAACAGCAGTGAAACACAGATGCTGTATTTTTTTATGCAACACCGCCACACCTTCGTCCATTAATAACCCAAACGCTTCAATTTCATCAGATTTCTCATGTATTTTTGTACTGAAAACTCCACAATACTCACATATGTACACACATGTTTTATTTTAATTTGGAGGGTGATTTGTTGTGTATTTCTTTAATATTAAATAACTAGCTTGGAGCTTTTGAATTTGTGAAAAGATTATGAACGATTCGTTTCTTGCCTGCTGGACATTGTAGAATTCAAGATGCTCATAAAGACGAGTCAAAAGAAAATTTGTTTAAAAAAAAAAATCACCATTTTTCTTACATATACTGATGGTTAATTTGTCCTTAAATTAAAACGTACAATTTGCACAATTTGTGAACAGCTGTCAACCATCAGGTGTCAACCATCAGGTGTCAACCATTGTTTCCTTCTGGAAACGGTTCAAAAATAGTTCAACAATGAAGACGCCTATTATTTATGACTGAAAAAGGTTTGTAAGCTCAATAATCCAGGTAGATAACAAGAAAAAAGATTAAATCGTGTCATCTGGACCAGTTTCTTTAAGTGAGAAACGTTTCGTCCCCCATCCAGAGGACTTCATCAGTCTGCTGCCTGCCAACCAGATCTGTCCCATATGTAGTAGCCTTCACTGCTGTGTTTGATGAATCTCAAAAGTAGATTTTTAACACTTGCACAACACACCCATTCAAAACAATCAGTCATCATGTTCAGTAATCAAATGTCCTAGGCCAGGTGGCCAACTTGCTACTCACAGAAACAGCCTGAGGACAACCAAGGCCAAAGTGGATGGAAGACAAAACATTTCTCACTTAAAGAAACTGGTCCAGATGACACGATTTAACTATTTTTGTTGTTATCTACCTGGATGATTGAGCTTACAACCCTTTTTTTCTGAACCACTTTGTCCTTGTTTGTGCTAAGGCTGTTTCTGTGAGTAGCAAGTTGGTCATCTGGCTTAAAGCATTTGATTATTGATTGTTTTGGATGGGTGTGTTCTGCAAGTGTTAAAAATCTACTTCTGAAATTCCATCAGGAGGTTGGCTTGAAACACAGCAGTGAACTATGGACAGATCAGGTTGGCAGGCCTCAGACTGACAAAGTCCTCTGGATGGGGGACAAAACGTTTCTCACTTAAAGAAACTGGTCCAGATGACATGATTTAACCATTTTTGTCATTTATGACTGAGTTTAAAAGAAACAGTGGTACAGTAAACTTACCCATCTAGCAAAAGTTTTGCAAAAGCCACTTGTTTTTAAACGAAGAGCCTTGGTTCCACCTCCCTGCTTGATCCCGATCTTTCTCTTTCCTTTTGCATTTAGCAGCAGATTCACTCTTTTATCTCAGCCTAAATATATTCGTCTTGACTCGACACTTGTCCACTTCTACCATACTGATATCTACTCAGAATACATGACTCAATTTTCCACATGGTTTTCAATGGATTCTGCAAAATGCCTTGTTTACGCTGAGTGCGTACCTGCATTTTAGAATTGCACATCAATATATTTGGAAAACTAAAACTGCCTCATTTAATATAGTTCAGGATCACATTTTTCATACTTTGCAAAGAGTACCTGTCTGTTTCTCCAAACTGAGACTTAGTAAGCCGTACAGTCAATGTGATAGTGCTACTTTAATGCTAAATCTATATAATATATAAGTCACATATGGAAATAGTTAGTGTGCCTTAATTCAAATATGTAATCGAAAGATTGGCTTGTTTAGGAACATGTGGTCAACAGGTATTCTGTCTCCATGCTGTTAAATTCCTTTTATATTCCACTGGCTGCATATGATTGTGTAGCTCTGAGTCACTGCAGCTCGAGCTGAGATAGAAAACAGAGACATCTGGTTTACATGAAGAAAGCTTCGGCTCTTACTTCTCGCAGCAGCATGACCTGATCCTTGGCTACAGTCCCTCAGGCACATTTTTCTTCCCACTAGAGACAGTGCGTTTGCATGGCATGGGGCTAAACTTGCAGGCTTTTACAACTGCAGCATAAAGTATCGAGTATTTAGTTGATACGCTGAGGGATAAAAACAACACTGCAGGTTTGTTGTAAATGAGTCTAATAAATTATTATTTTACTTTTTATCTAGCTGGCATCATTTTGTGTGGTGTCACAGCAAGTTTATCACAGAGCAGCTTTTAAAGTAGCATTAACACTTTAAGCATTTTACCACAGAAAATACTGCAACACTGATCTCCTCGTGTAGCACGTTGCACAGCAGCACTGACCTTCAGGTGTTTTGCATGCTTTTTTATTAATATCACAACTGTGACAGTTCTGCTTCCAGTCTGCTGCTGTTTATTGTGACACTAATACATTTTTGTTGATACAACTACACTATACTTTTGCATTTGTTCTTTGGCTGAACTTGCCTGTAGTTAAGAACTAATAACACACCTTAGGGCTGACTTTTTGATGAAAAAAGTATATTAACTGCTATGTGACATGTTTTCCTTTGTCCTTTTAAACCATTGAATAAGATTGCCATTATAAATGCATTAAGGAAACATTTTTAAATAATCCCTTAAACAGTCTGATTAGATATGCTGCTACAAAACACATTTTCATTCAATTTCTCACAGGAAGCTTTCAAAGGGTTTACATAAACTCATATGACCTGTAGGTGGAGCTATTCATCCTTCATTTTATTCATTGTAATGTAACAAAAAGAGGACAAAAGCCATTATTACAAAGATCAGGGTGAATAGGGGATTGTGTATAAAGGTGTGGCAGATATCGTATAAAATAACTCAGTGGGTCAAGTTGAGGACGATCAATGGGTCATGTTTCAAAAGTAATTTCAATGTTAATCAGAAAAGCTGGATTTAAGGAGTGATTGTTGTTTTAGTCTCCCTATATCTCTGCATATATATATATATATATATATATATATATATATATATATGTGTGTGTATGCATGTATTATAAGGCAGCTACAAAGCTAAAACGCATGAGGGAAGTGTTGGAGATGGTAAATAACAAAAATGGGAGTCATGATGTGCCTAAAACAGCTGGATGTCACAGTGTCCTCCGCTATTTGAATAATGAGAAGCAGAGGAAGAAAACTGAAAGCGCTGTGTGCCTGGAGGGTTTAGACATGGTGTCATCTGCATTCCTCTGAGCACCATGAGGAGAAATGGCCTGACGCAGAAAGAGCTCTCTTGCAACTGAAAACTACTCACTGGGACCTCATTAGCAGGCAGAAAACCAAAACCTACAGTAAGAAGCATTTTGCTTTTAATGGCACAATGGAATTTAAATCCCAGTCAATTTAAACTGAAAATGTTGTAAAGATTTATCAGTAGCTGAAGAAATCCTGCATGTAGTAACTATACATTTTCCCAAAGTGGACACATTGAACTTCTGCTAGTTTTATGAAGCAGTAAGAAGGATCCTCACCCTATAGCATTAAAAAGTAAAAAACAGGATTTAAATTTAGTTCAGTTCGCCTGCAGGACAATCTGTTCTAGAAACCTAATATAAATCAGAACCTGCACCAACTTCATTGTAAATTTACATCTTAAATGTATTACTGCCACATATTTCTCTTAAGTCGTATGATTTAAGCTAAATGAATCTTCATTACTGTATTTTCCGCTGTTAGTAAATGCACTTTGACAGCATTTCAAAAGCCGATACACGGAAGTAGGAGCATGCATGGGAGGACTTGCTGTGCAT